TTAGCAATCTCTAACTTTGGAAGTCCTTGAATTTAGTTCGTATGATGTTTACTACATCAAAATTTAAAAATCTAAGCCTTCTTAGGACAATCTTTTCGATATTTTAAAAACAAAATTGAAATTTGGAAGTTTGGTTTTATTTGAGCCATGAACCTGATGCGAACTTATTATGCCACCAGGTGCAACACTAGAATAAGTTGATCAGAACATAAGTAACTTATGTTCAGGAGGATAGACAACTTTACATTATTAAATCATCGTACGAGTTCAAACGCAAACTTTACCCGTTTCTGAGGTCTTCAAATACATTATTGATATATGATGAATTTCCAAGACTATTCATCCAGAAGCGAAATGCCCTCTCTTCTCTGGAAATTTGGGTGTCATCTTCCAAATTGTCAAGGAATGATATTTGCTTTGTTTGGGTTGAGAGCCCATTTCTACATGTGAACGAGTAAAACTTAGATACTTACTGCAATAAAGTACCTATTCTAAAAGGAATTCATTGCTCAAGTCGATATAGTTCTCACCTGTGCTGGAAAATATGTGCAACAAATGCAAGGTTAAGATTCGGGGATCCTTCAACAATATCTTTTGAAGTCAAATATCTCTTACAACCCATCCTATCTGCATGTTCAAGAACTAACTTTGCTCTTTCCAAAGGATTCTTTGCATCCAATGCAGATGGTTTACTGTGCTCTGGTGCAAGAACGTTTAAGAGGTGAGCATAAGCCTCAGCATCCTGCAAGACAGACATCTCATAGCCTCAAACACTAGCGTCGAATCTAGTTATCAGCTATTGCCATTGCAACCTACAGAATCGAATCACTGGCTACATCTTTCCTATTTCATTATATACTTGGGCATGCCATATTCCCAAACCTCAACAAGTTATTAACTTATTCTCATACCTTCACATCAGAAGAGAAGTTTGTGACTATCTTTTTATATCCTGCTTTCTTCAATTGGAAATTCATCCACCTGAGTAATATCTTTTCTGGAGGTAGACTCATCAACTCTTCCACATCCTGTAGGTTTCGGACAAAAGAACAGATTAGGAAATTGTTGGTTGAAAGCCTCGCCACTAATTGTCTTAAGAATCAAAATTTCATGAACGACATTCTTACCTTGCTATCGTCAACCAACTCCACCAATTGAGGTGTTTTCTTCAAGTTGAGGTCTGCCAATAGTTGTATCTAAATAGCATAACGATTAGTATAATACTGTTGGAAAGATAAATCAAACTTATTGGTTCGGACACAGTCCATATATATTCCAAAATCAAACTTCATGCTGATAAAGTTATACAACTATGAAGGTCTTACCTTGATTATCTGAGAAATGACTCCAAGGACAAGATGACGCTGAAATCCAAACAAAAATTACAATGTTGTGTAAGTATCCATATCCCGTATATACTTATAAACACTCAATGAAGCAGTAGCAACCCTAGGGCACACTATATGAAGTAAACGAAAAGTCATACATGCATACCCTTCCTTCAATGAAATCCTGAGTCCCTATATTGACTACAGTACATCCAACTGCCTTAGCAGAGTTGAGGCACAGGGTGTGATTTTCATTTCTCTCCCACGGATTAAGTATTCGTTTAGTATTGATAGCTCGTTCATCGATTGTTCCAGGCACTGCCACATTGATCAGCTTACTGCATCCAGAGAAACACAACCATAAAAATCCAATCAACGATCCCAACACAAAAGAAATTAGTAACTCAACAAAAAATACCACAAGGGGCAGTAATGAATAACAATCAATCACCATAAAAGTACTCCATCTTTGACGATCTCGAATAAATCATTGGTTGAAGGATCAATAGGCAGGTATCTCTTTAAAAAATCGTCCTGTCCAAGGTAATTATTGATATGTGCAACATAGGAAGCCTTCTCGGATTCACTGATCGTGTGGAGCAAAGTGGTGGTAGCAGCCTTGAGAAAGGCAGATGAGGAGTTGTTCTTTCCACCACTTCCTGTTGTAGCTGTGGCACGAGCTTGGAGTTGCAAATAGACCTGCAAGACTTATTCAGCAATACTTATTCGATCAATTGCTCAATTGGGTTTGAACTTTGAAGTAAAAGTGTTAAAACAGACCCGGAGGAAGAATTCGAAATCCACATCTTCATCGAGGTTGGGATGCAAATCTTGAATGAAAGAAGCCCTGTCTTGGTCAGTGAAATTATCCGATCCCACAACCTTGAGCCTCGACATCTTGGCAGGCAAGTCTCCAACTGTGAGCTTTCCACTCTCTCTCTTCATGCTCACAAACTTCATCAACCCAAAATCACAAAATTTTCAGCCAAAAAATGCTCAAAAAATAAAATTTAGAAAACATGAAATGCAGAACACACATGGGATTTCAAGCTCCGGAGCTCCACTTGGGTGAACTGGTTCTGCAGCCATGGATCTGAGACTAGAATGCCGACGTACCCCGACATTTTTGGAGCTTCCCAGAAGAAGAAGATTCAGGATTGAGCTGAAAATTTAGCTAAAAGCTCTTCTCTTTCAGTATTTCTTGGTTATTATCCCCCCCCCCTCTTTCAGTATTTCTTGGTTATTATCCCCCCCCCCCAAAAAAAAACCCTACTTTTTATTTGATCTAATTTTTGAGTTAATTATTTGAAGTTTGAAGCTTTAGAGGAGGAGGATTAGTACAAGTAGGGAGGGAACGAGGAGGAGGAGGAGGAGGAGGAGGAGGGTGGGCAACACTCAACGCAGTTGGGTCCGGGTAGAGCTGTTACACTTGAAAGTTTGTTCCTTTGAATGAAGATAGACAATTCAAATAATGACCATCATGTCCTACTCAAGTAGTCTCTGTCTCAAATCTCAATCAGTCGGCTGGTTACCTCTTTCTCTCTCTAAAATGAGTCAACTAGGGAGGATAGAAGTCCGACCCCACAAACACAATGTCATTGGAGAATTCAAATTATGACTGACATTGTTGTGCAGTGTTTTTTGTCCGCTCTATTTATTTATAGAGGCCCTTCCATTTTCCGTGATCTCCCGTGCCTTCCTGTTTTGTGTGGTCACGGTTAAGTCACGTTAATATTTTATATTATTTTTTTTTTTTTCTTATTATCTCTGTAAAAAAAAATATAAAATGTTGACGTGACTTAACTGTGATCACACAAACAGAAAAGCATAGAAGAGCATGGAAAGTGGAAGAGCAGAGAATCTGCCTTCTTTATTTATATACTCGCTTATATTATAACATGTGAATTAATATAAAATAACAGCATGACATTTTATACAGCAGTCACACTTTCTATTGTTGTCATTCTATATGGTTATGCTTTCAAGTTTCAACTATGACCGTTGCAATTTCAAGATTTGAACTTTAAATAATAAACAATTAGAGCAACATGCATGATTAAACAATGGAATTTGTTCAGATAGCTTCAAAGGAGATGTCAAATCCTAAGTGAAATGTCGTGTAATCAAATTTGAAGGTAAGAGTAAGCTTCAATCGATATGTCAATCCTATGTGGATTGACGTATGAGTTTTCATATGTCAAATTTGAAATATGAGAAAATATGATATCAAATAATTTAATTAAATTATTTTATTGTGGGGTCCCCTTAATGCACCAATTAGATATCTTAAAATTTTATTTTAATTGATTTCTTTTTAAAATGCATAAGATTATATGAGTTTTCATATGTCAAATTTGATTTATGAGAAAATGTGATGTCAAATAATTTAATTTAATTATTTTATTGTGGGGTCCCCTTAATGCACCAATTAGATATCTTAAAATTTTATTTTAATTGATTTCTTTTTAAAATGAATTCTATAAATATCATTTATAACAAAAAACATATCAGTTAGAAAAAAGAGAAAATTTGACATTGTCACGTCAGCTATCAAATTAAATTTGACATTTATCTTTTGACATCTCCATTGAAGATGCTCTTAGGCATTGAATTAAGTGAGACTAAATTTGTAAACAAAATATGCAAATTAAATGATGTGTTACTAATAAGATATGAGCACGCTTATCAACGCTTAAGTAATCATCCAATCATCAACTTCTATGTCATTTAGTTTACAAAATTTTGTCTCCCTAACATTACTTTTCTCACACCTCCTTTTTACCTCACACACACTCCTCTCAATTTAAAAAACTGTTAATGCTCGGGTATTGAATTGGGAGGTGAATTGTCTGCCCTCCCATTTTCATGCTCTTCCCATTTCTTTCTGTTTGTATGATCACGGTTAAGCTATGTTAACATTTTATATTGATTTTTTTATAAAAATAATAAAACAAATAGTAATAGGAATATAAAATGTTGACGTAGCTTAACTATGATCACACAAAGGATGAGAAGAGTATAGAAATTGGAGGACAGACAATCTACCTCTATTGAATTGAATATATTAATAAAAAGAGGTCTGTCATTTGAAAAAAATAAGGCATTTGCCCACCTGCAAGGCTGCAAGTGTGTGGGGTAATAAGAACCACTAGTTAAAAAGATCGTTTGCCTTTTCTGAAAAGCAGAATTTGATTGGCCACGAATGTTTGACGTTTCCTAATTCCTAGACTTCTATCATAGAAGTTCTATGGATGTAACTAATTAAACTTACCAAAATGGTTCACCACTGAACTTGTTTTGATGTACTGTCGAAATGTTGTTGATAACATATTGATACATCGGTAATAATGTGTTGATGTAATGTTGTTGATAATGTATTGATACGTCGTTAATAATGGGCTAATGTCGTTATAACTAACAAAACATACTGACATCAATCATATTAATGGTGTGTCGTTCATCTATCAATGAGTTTGTCATTAGGACTTGGCTTTATGGCAATTATGGCGTGCTCGGATGGGAGGTCATTTGCCCTCTACATTCTCAAGGGAGATGTGGGGGGCAACGGTGTGTGACGCCTGAGCAAGCGTGCCCCATTTAATTTAGCATGTGAAAGTAAACCTAGAAAAATCATGCACAAATCACAGTAGAGACTGGATACATAGTATCATATCATCCCCACAGACCATATTCATATTTGGCTTTTCATTAATAATCATTAAGCAGTTCAGTTATCATCATATAACAAATCAGTCCATTTAAACTCTCAATCTCTTACAGAGAGCATATACTAAAGTATCATCCGATTCGTGGGTCATAAGAACTTCCATATTTTCACATAGTTCTGAGGCTCCAATCTGCAAAAAAGACGGTGCGGGCGGGCAACGCTACCTTCATCCATAGCATTATCTTATAAACAAAACAAGCTAATCACATGAACATAAACTAAGAGATTTTGCACATATGAGAGAGCATAGGAGAGATAACAATGGTTGGCCATACCAATGTGGACTAAGGAAGCTTTATACACGGTCCATATTTGCTTTACAGAAAAGGCAAATAGAAAGAGAGAGAAAAAAAGGCGTGGGAAAAAAGATTTATAAATAATTAGGGGAATGTGTACCGATCCTTGCTGTGTTTGCTTCTACTACTCAAGGCATATGAATCATTACCGAGGTCCACCGAAGTTTGCACTGATGCAAGCATATCAAAATCCATATTTGTGGGACATTTCCACACATGGTGTTGCACTGGTGTTCATTGGACACTGTTGAATTTTCATCATCAGTTTTGCTGATTCTGGGTGCTTTCCTTTAAACAAAGTATGATTCGAGCCACGCTTGTGTCCGATTCCCGCTATCATTGGACAACAGATTAAAAAGACGTAAATAGTTAGATGATTTTGCTTTGACCATCTTGCAATCTTTGTCACAGACACAGATTACAAAGCACTCGGCAAGGTTATTGCTAGACCCAACCTAAAATTATCTGTTCCAACAGTACATAATTAGCGAAAAAAGGGATGGCACCTACAGTAAAATGTTCAAAATGCTATTTCCTGAAGAACTTCAAGTGTCTTCTGATGAACCTGTATGTGAGACAAGGGAACAAAATGAATTGAATCGCAGGAAGAATGTGGAATAACATAGCTGTAAAGTGAAGGAAATTATAATGGGAAATGATGAGGTTAGCTATTTGTGCACCGTGACTTTCAGGGCTGGTTTGGTATTGCTGTGCTTTGAAAAAAAACTGCTGTGAGAATATGCGGCTGTGCTGTGAGAATAAGCGGCTGTGAAATAAATCAGCAGAGTGTTTGGTAAACTTTTTTGTAAAAGTGCTTTTGGAAAAAAAAACAGTCTGATAGTAGGTCTTTTCATTAAAGGAGCACTGTAGCTCCGTGTGCTTTGAAAAAAAGTCAGTTTTCCAAAGCTGCAAATAGCAGCTTCAGCTTTTTCCTTTGATTTCAGCTTATTCTCACAGCAGCTTCCAAAATAAGCCATTTTTTTTTCAGTTTACCAAACGCCTAAAACCCTCACAGCTTTTTTTCATGGGTGCTTTTTTTTTAATCACCTCACTCCCAAACCACCCCTCAGAAACATGCTATAAATTGCTTAGAAGAGTGACATAGACGAAGCGTATGTTATAAAATTCTAAAGCATATCGTAAGAATAACTTCTATGACTTTTCAAAATAAAAACTAGATAAAAAGCTTAAATAAAATTGAAGACAGTAATTCATTTGCAGGACAATTAAAAGCACGTTCTTTTATTTATTTGAGAGGGGATGGCGGGAGAGAGAAAAAACATTACCCATTCTAGATGCTGTGCTGTGATACCAGAGACATTTCCACCATATATACCACCTAAGACCTGGCAAGTTCAAGGATCAATTAGAATTTAACCTAAACAGGTTTACTGCATATCTGACAGCTTTAATACCATTTAACCTAATAGATGTTTCAAGGGTATGAAATATCTTTGAGATCAGAAACACCAAATCTATATATTGTCCTCAAACACTACCCAACTTGACCTTATGGGTCCTTAGAGATCCTGAGGTCCACAGGGCTCAAAATGAATGTGTTACAACTTACAATTTAAATTGGTGAATCAACTCTTACCTTGGAGACAGTCTCAAGAAACATGCCAGGGCGCACAGGAAGTGGTTTTCGTCCTGAAATGCTTTCCTGGAAATTATGATGCATGAGTCAATATAGTTTGATACCAACGAATAGTTATATGTGTGTGTCAGTGTGTGCGTCGCGCGAGTGTGCACGCTGTTGAACAGATATGCACACACACACACACACACATTGTAGTTATAGACTGTTACCCACCCTTCCTCCAATTCCACTCGTCGCACCAGTGCCATCTTCCTCATCACTGCTAGAGTGGTCAGCACCTTCATTTTTTCCTTCCATTACATTTTTTATCATCTCCTGGACAGTCTTCCCCGGCTTTAAAGCTACCAGTTTGGTTAAGAAATTCACCTGCACTGACAGGAATTTTAATCATGCCAAACAATGACAGATGATGATGGTAATAATTTACCTAAAAATACAATTTTTCCAAAGAATTGTTGATATATTCATTGAAAAGAACAGATATGTGCCAATGAATCAACTGGATATCCTCAGACCAAAAAACCAAAACGGATATCCTGCAATTTTTTTATAAATGCAGAAATACAGACCTCGGATTCTGGAAGAGTGTTAAATCCACGATCATTTCTCTCATCTAGTATTCCACCTCCCATCATATTCCGAGCTTCCTCTCTGATCAAAACAAGTCTTGCAAGCAGTTTTCGATCTGGAACTATAGGCCGAGTTTCCATTGTCTTCCATAGATGAGAATAAGCTTTTATATAAGCTTCAATTATTACTAAATGACAGGAAGTACAAATTCAAACTTCATAAAAATAATAATGCATAAAAGCATGAAAATTCAATGGCCAGTGCCACTGAATATCTTTACATATTACAAGGACTGTAGTGTTTGAATATAGTGTTTGTAAGTTAAAAATTCTATTTTCTTGTTTTAACATTTAAGAGTGTTCCCAAAAATCCCAAGCCCCAAAGAGGGGGAAATCTAAAGTTCAACAGAGCAAAACTATTAAAACACCTGGCATCAAGTTCTGAGGGTCAAATCTCAGTGACGGTTTTAAACACAGAATGATTATATACTCTATGGTGTAAAGCCAAACTAGGAAAACCACCAAGGTATATTTTAACTCCTTTAAATGGCATTAGCAATACATGGTGGCCAGGATGATTTGCAAATAATGCTATGCATACATCGTCAAAGGCCAAATAAGCATGCAGGGCTTCGCAGTGATTACCTCCAGTATATCATCAGCCTGGTTAGCAATATCATTAAGATTTGCAGCTGGAACATGAACTTTGATGTCATTTTTACTTTTAAACACACCACCACCGGCAGCCACTCTGCGTAGTAATTCCTGCCTGCTTTCTTTTAAGGGAGTTCTGCAGAGTAGGCCAACCACTTGAACCTAGAAATAAATACGGATGAAAAAAAAAATAAAGAGGAAAGAAATTAGCATTCAATAACCGTAAATGCCTATACTAGCTATTACTCTGAATTAAAGTTTCTAAAATTGGGCTTAACGAAAAATCCTTACATGTGGGGGGCATTTTTTCGTAAGATAGGATAATACTGTCTCCTTGATCACCTCCAATAGAGACTTGCGCTGAACATGAACAATCAAAACAGTCATTGAGTAAACAATCCATAGCTACACTCAGTGACAAGAAATGAAATCATCCACAACAATGTCTAAAAAAGAGGACTAAGTATGTTTGAGTGTTTGACCACGAAAAGGCAGTCAGCTATATGGTGGCTAGAATTTACCTAAAAACAAAAGCAGTGCAAATTTTAGCACAAATTCAAAACTGCAGCAGTGCTGAAAGTGCATTTAGTTTTGCATAGAAGTTCATGTATTGAAATTGAAGCTTGCACCCATGAACAATATCATACAACACAAAAACTTATGTTTCCCTCCTCTATCCCGCCCTCTCCCCACAAAAAGAAAACGCATCACTGAACATTCGCAGCGCAGATATTACAGAACCTAATTAGTAGTGCCACTAAAAATGTAACCCAAAAACATGCATCCTCATATGAAGGTACACATACGAACAAATATTGGAACAATAATACTGTGCGGAAATAAAAAACCACATCAAAGGTGATGCGAAAAAGTACAGAAAATGATAGAGAATGTGGTGTTATCTAAAACTTGATAAAATCAAAAGGTCAGTGCGTGCTCATAGATCTATCATATCAGATCAATCGAAGTTTCTTGGGGTTAGTTCAAATATACATTAAAGCTAAGGTATGTATCAAGCTGCAATGGAAGTAGGAACCTTATCATCTTGGTCACTGTCAGCGAGTTGGATCATGTAATCTAGAGCCATCATGAAACTGGCCTCCATTTCATCGACTCTCTTCCCTAGGACCCCCTGTGCAGCAATTTCCACTGCCACCTCTTCAGATGCCTCATCCATGTTCATATCCTCCAACTGTACATACACAAAACTAATAATCAGCAATTTTAACAATCAGTAAGGTCGTGATTTGCACAAAGAGATATAAGCATACGAATCCAACTTCCGGAAAAATAACCATGAGGGCAGTTAATACATATCATCCCATTGATGCAAATCATATGAAATTCACATTTCAATGCAAAGTCTGGCTCAACTAAGCCTTATACCAAATAATCTATCATTTCCTTCTATACCAATTTCTCAGCAACCAATCTACAAAGCTAATGATCAGTACAATGAAGCATCAGTTGGCTCGTAATTTCAAAGAGAGAAACAGCTGAATAATCCAATTTTCGCAAAATTCGCCAACTGGGTAGTTGTTACATAGTAATATATTTTATCATGATGGATGCAAATCATATGAATTTCACATTCACACTTCAAAATCTTGCTCAACCAAGCCTTATACCAAATTATCTACCATTTCCTTCTCTACCACTTCCTCAGCAATAAATCTACAGAGAATGACGACAGAGAGAGACAGATAGAGGGAGAGAGAGACTTACAAGTACGATCATCTCTTCAAGAACAGAAGTGACCTGCTCACCACCTCTGAGAAGGGCTTCGTATTGGGCAGGCTCCAATTTTGAGCTGTCTTGCTCTCGGGCAGCTCTGTTCTTCCCTTGTGCGCCAAATCCTTCATCCGGGTATCCGCCGCCCACCTCATAGGTGCCGCACCACCGCAGCGTCTGCCGCTGCATCTTCTTATTGGGTTGCTTTGGCTGAAGCTGAGGTTGGGGAAATTTGATGTGGTGGGAGGAAAAAGAGGGTAGACAGAGAATTGCTGGGTTTACAGATTGTGCAGCTGGGTATGAAAAACACGGAAACATTTTGGTCTTCTGCTACAATTTTTTTCTTGTTGGGTTTGTGCGGGGTTTTTGCTGGGTTTTTGTGTTTTGCAGGGAGAAGGTGATAAGGATGTTGAAATATTAACCAAAAAATAAATTTAAAAAAAAAACAAAAAAACAAAAAAAGAAACAGAAATAGTAAAATTTAAGCGAGGTCGCCGTCTGTGGGAATCGAACCCACGACCACACGGTTAAAAGCCGTGCGCTCTACCGGCTGAGCTAAGACGGCTTTGCTATTCCAACAGTTTGTTAAGTTTTAACAATTTTATATTCTGTTGACATGAAAATGGGATGAAGATCAAGAGTAAGATATTGCAATTTAATTAAAAAACAACACATTCTTTTTCATTTTTAAAATATGTTACTATATAATCCATATATATAGCAGTATATAATCTTTTATTTTGGGATTTCGATGTTAGGGTTAACATCCCTTTATCCCAATTTGGACCCTTGAACATTTAGTATTTTATTTGGGTTCTCACATTACCAACCTCAAAGCAATATAATAATAGTCAGCAAAAGATATAAAAGTGCGTTGATGGTTATGGTTGTAAACGAATTGAACCAAATATCACTATGCTCAAGTTTGGCTTGTTTAATTTTTTTTTTTTTTTTGAACTCAGGCTTGGCTTGCTTCTTTTACAAGCCGAGTTCGAGCAAGCTTAATAATTTCAAGCCTAATCATGTTCTCAAATTGTTTTGAACTATTTCTTATAGTAAGTTAGCTCGGTTGTATAATTTTTTTTTTCTTTTTTTATGGCTGGAACCCAGTAAGAGGCTAGACCAACACGTTTGTAGAGTCTTGCAAAAAAATATCCCTTTTAGTTTATTTTTTATTTTGTTAATATATTATTTGGACCTGAGCATCCCATTATGTATCAGACAGAGTTGAGTGAATATATTGTTTCTATGAATATTATTGGGCGTTGAGCTTGGACGACCGAGCAGAGCTTAAGCCTACCTCAAGTTGTTTTGTAAAAGAATTTTAGTTGCTTATGAGTGTAACATACTAATGTTCAAGCTTGACTTCTTTTTTAAACAAGCCAACCTATGCTTGGGTTAGTTCTTTAACTATTCGAGCTCTATTGATAAAAGGAATACACTCACTTATGGGCTTTCATATCGGGCCTAGTTGCAACTCAATTACTTAGATCAGGTAGCCCAATCCCAATGGCCGAAAGCCACTGAATGCTAGTAAAATCCTCGTATTTACTATTTACCCCAATGATTTGACTTCTTGTTTTTTTTAACTGTTAAGAGCTTTTTAATGCGACCTAAAAATTGTTGTAAAGAAAAATATCTACCACCTCAAAATAATATGATAAATCTTTGACGCCACTGTGACTATTGACTTGTGATGGGATCATGGAAGCTTTACCCCTGCTGTGTTGCTATAGAGGACAGTTTTGTAAACTTGACCTGAAAAAAAAACAAACAAAAAAAAAAACAGTTCTGCAAGGGGATGAAAATGGATGTGCAATCGGCTTTCTGGATATTGAATTTAATAAATTAAACAAGATTAAAAATTAAAAATTAATAATAGTTGTACAGGAAGTAAAATGAATGTGTGAATAGCACCACTTAAGTAAAAAATGAAACGAAAATCAAGATTGAGATTTTAGATTGATTAAAAACAACATAGCACTGACCAACATTCTTTTTCTTTTTTCAAATGGAGAATGAATCTATTGACTTATCCAAGACAAGTAGCAATAAAAATAATAGAGTGGTCTATAAGGACACCTACAAGATCATCCCTTAGATGTTGCATAAGGTATCGTTTGGTACGTGAGATGGGATGGGACGCGCTCATCCTACGTTTGGTGTACTAAAAAGAGTGAGACGCATTGTCCCGTGGAACAGATTTTAGCTAAATTTTGGTTCCACCCTCACCATCTGGAACAGACTTATTCCAGCTCATGGAACGCAAAATTATAAAATTTTGGACAACAATACCCCTTAACTTTTTCATTGATTCCACTGTCTACCCTCTCTCTCCCGTAGCCTCCCTATCTTCTTCTCATCTTCCTCCACCACAAATCTAGCAACCCAACCATGGCTTATCCACCATATTCCCCGCAGGATGATTTCATCTTCTCTTTCCAATCGGCCCCAACGTTAACCCAATCCCAACCAACCCACCTGAACCCAATCCCACCTTCTTCCCGCCGCCTCCCTTCTTCTTGCTGGTCCGTCAATGAAACCGTCACCTTCTGCCGCACCAACCTCAAGGCCACCCACTTGGCAGGACGTAGCCGAAGCCGTTGCTCGACGATACCACGCTGCTTTTTAGGCGTCATCACAAATCAGAGCTTCTACCATTTTTTCTCCCGTAGCTTCTCTTTTATACCCTTTCTCTCTCGTAGCCTCCATCACTACCAAATCCTTTATTGCCTATCTTCCCTTTACTTAATCTCCAAATCATCTACCTTCTCGACTTCTTATTCGCGGCTTAGGACACTTCAACGTTGTCGCTGTTGTGGGCAGTGATGCTACTCGACTCGCACCCGGAGGTCCTGGGGAAGGTTCAGTGGCGTACTAGGTGATGAGATACAGAGCTCCGGCGACAATGGTCATGCATGTTGCCTAACCTTCCTTCCCACAAATGGCTACAGAAAATCTATGGGGTTGAGTTGATGGAGTCAACGAAGAATGTCACACCTCGATCCCGACATATGTCCAGGATCGACACGTAACGTTTTCAAGTATTCGTATGTCTAATATACCCATCCTTCGGGATATGGCAAAGCACACTCGAGCATCAATTCACATAGTAATTTTTTGTACACTTTATGGCTGCATCTAACCTCGTTGTTAGACTACCTACGAACCCTAAATAGAGATCAAGCCATTCGTAGTTCGTCATTAGTCAAACTCTAATATTTTCATAAAATACTTCAACCGGAAAACATAGGGTACTACACTACACATCAACCATAAGCCAAACACAATTATCATCTTGTCATGCACATAAGTGTGATATTCCCACACATATGATTTCCAATTCATCCTTCATATAAATCACTATGTTTCATATAATACTGCAATTCATAGTATGCAACATCTCAAAGAACAGTCAATGAAGCACAATGTTATCCTCTAGTCATAATGGTCAACGAGTCTAATCATAATGACAACAATCATAACCAACATTATTCCACAATCACATCAATCAATAACACATATCATATACCAAAATGTATGGCTAGAATGACACAATTCGACCGAAACCTACATCTTTGAAGCTTGATATCAACTCCAAGGAACCAACAAGTCAAGTGATGCGATTTCGGACCACTCAACGAAATCCATCAACATCGGGTTCTGAACCACTCAACGAAACCAAGACACCAAAAAAGATTTTGGACCTCTCTACCAAATCAAAACACCAAAGGGGATTTCAGACCTCTTTATGGAATCCAAACTAGGATACAATTCCGAACCATCACTCAACGTAATCGTAGAGTAGAAGGGATTCCTGACCTCTCAATGGAATTTGAGTGGATACGATTCTGAACCATCACTCAACGGAATCACACAGTAGAAGGGATTACGGACCATCACTCAATGGAATCCAAGTAGATACGATTTTGGACCATCACTCAACGGAATCGCGGAGTAGAATGCATAACAACGGCTCGAAGAAACAAGACATGGATAATGTTACTCCATTCATGAAGGCTCAACAAAATGAAACAATATCGAAGCAACAATCCCCATCACAATGGATTAACTATCCACTACTAGCCCTCACATTTTACAAGCAATTCAATATGTATTTCATTGCAACATGCCTATCATACAAATCAAACCATATTTCAAATATATATGTCAAATCTCATTTCATAAACATAAATCGATGACTAAGTATTAAAAATAACAATTCAATGGAAAACATATTTATAAAACCAAGTCATATCCACACAGGATAACAATTACGAAAACAAGGTAATTACCAATATCACATATATTAAAGTCACTCTCATTCCATCACATCAGGCCAAACATACAAATCAACCACACTCTACAACAAGTTCAATACACAAGTCAAATCACATAAAATAAACAAGCATATCACAATGTAATGCCATCAATATGTAAATCGAGGTGCACATCAATCGAAGAAGACACATCATCATACTGAGCCCAATAAGCTTCATGGAGTCTCAACAACATGCTAAAATCAACAACACACTAGAAAAACTCGGACTAGTTGATTAAAAGCTAACCATCGATTAAGGTCGAGAGTAGGGTCTACAACCCTAGAAATCTAAACCAGAAGATCTGCTTATCAGATTTCTAATCTGTAACTTCCTAAAGTCCACATTATGCTTCTAGAACAACATACTAAAATTTCATTATGATCCAACAATTGGATCTCCGCCAATCGCTAAGATTAAGTGGCGGTCAATGTTTAGTTTTCCAAACTTAGAAATCCAATTCGGGAAGATCCGTATGTCGGATTTCCAATCCGTAAGTTCCTATTGTCCTCAAATATTTTGTACTATTACTTATTGTTTGGTGTTGATCCAACGATCTGATCGTTAATTCATATAATAATCAAGTGACAGCCAATTAGGCGGTCAATTACGAAACTATGTTAAAACATCGGAATTTCACTAAACGGATGTCAAATATGGAATTGGGGCATCAAAATTAGCCTAGGATGGTCAGGTAGGGCCTCTGATGGCTTCCCCAACTCACCAGAAAATTCAACTATTTCCAAAAATTACCAAATTTCACAGAAATGAAGATCTCAATGAGTAGAGCAAGTTTTATACCTGTGAACAAGACCAATTTGGCTGGGAAAAGCCCTAATTTCATCCAAACTTGCAGGAAGCCCTAGAATGGGTGGCTTCGATCCATCACCTCTGGTGCTCCACCGCCCCTACAGTTGTTTGGGCTTTGTTCCAGGCCTCAAGATGAGTGTTTTGGTGGTGGTGATGGTCGACGTAGCTTTCACGGTCGGTGGATTTCTGTTGTGGCACCCCAGATTCGACGGGTTCCGTTCTTCGCTAATTCAAGGCTAAATTGTATGAATTTTGGGGTGGAATTGGTAGAGGAAAGGCTAAGGAGTTGTTTCCAAGTGATGGAAGGCAACGATTCGCCGTGAAACGCCGCGAATGGTGTCGGGTTGGGTCGAGAAGAACACCCGTTCCCTTTTTTTTTTTTTTTCTTTTTCCTTTTCTCATTTTCCCTCATTTTCCCCTCATTTTCTGATTGGGCACTCCCCCACCTTTTTTCGTCTGCAACTCTCTCTTTTCCCCTCTCTCCTACTGCCAACTGCCAGCTTCTAATTGTTTTTTTGTTTTTTGTTTTTTTTTTACTAAAACGTCTCTAATTTCTTCGTTTCAACTCCGATTTATGAACGATTTTCGCCTACGTGTTTATAGGGTCGAGCTTTATCCAATTGTGTGACCCCGCAAGTCCACGAATATTTAATGATTACTGACCAAAATTCAAACTTCGTAATTAGTTTAATTAAAATCTAAATTTGATATATATTCCCAAAAATAATATAAAATCTCCTTAATACAAATACGTAGTTTGCAATAGTGAAATCTCGTTCCTAGATTTCATAGAGAACCATGAGTACGTTTGTCATTTAATCCTTTGTTACATTCCGTTCTGCACGTACCAAACGCGAAACAAAACAACTGTCCCATTTCATCCTGTGCATACCAAACATAGCACGAAAGCTCTATTCCGTTCTGTCCCGTTCCATCCCGTCTTTGTACCAAACGCTACCTAAGCTATTGGGGAGGAAGCTGAAAAGAATGCAAACCAAAGTCCAAATTGTAGCTCCATTTGGCTAGCTAATCTGCAACATTGTTCAATTCCCTGAAAATATGTTTTAGCTCACAATGAGCAATTCTTCTCATTAAATCCCTACAACTCTTCAAAAGGGCAGCAAGGGGGTGAAAAGTATCTTGCACAAATTAGTTCAACAATAATACAGCAGAGAAAGAGTTCATCTCTATGATTAACTTAGATATGCCTTTTTCAATAGCAAGCTGAAGTCCAAAATACAATCCCCAAACTTCAGCTTCTATAATTTGCCCTTGCCTTAGATTAATAGAGAAACCTCCCATACAATCACCATTGTGGTCACAAAGAATTCCTCCAACATCGACCTCGCTCGAAACCATTTTTCTAGAACCATCTACATTCAACTTAGTGTTATCCAATAAATGCGTTTAAAACATAACATTACATATCTCGCTCAATTATTTGACAATGTTTTAATTTTGATAAACTTTCAAACATGACACGACAAGCTGTGAATGAGATCAAATATATATTCAACAATGTTAAACTAAAGGGTTCGGATTAAAATTTCATCCGAACGAACACGTTAGTACACGACACGTTGCACGATCTACGGTGGACCATCCCCCACTTATACATGGGTCAAGGGGTCAACGAACGTAATAAAATAACCAAAATACGCACTGTTTTGTTATCCCATCATTTTCTATTTCTTTTCTGCAGACCCAAAAGATAAACAGGCAAAGGATAGAATGTACGGCTTATCTCCACTGCCTGGGCCATCATTTTATCATCCGAATACTTTGTTGTTTTATTTATTTATTTTAGCATTCGGTAGGTGGTCAATATCTTAATCCAACGGTCCAGAGTACATAAGCCAAAACGGGGAGTGGTACCATTCGTAATTCCTCTCAAACTCACGGGCAACTGTAAGACATCAACAGTCGTAATTTCCCGTTATACCCTCATCCGTACGGTTCCGCTTCCCCGCTTCTATAAATCGCCTACCCCAGCCATACCCACACCCCACGCCTTTTGCCTTTCCGTCTGCTGCTCTCTGCCCTCGTCGTCCTCCTCTCTCTCTCTCTCCCCCCCCTAGGGTTAGGGTTTCTCTGTCCTTTCTCAACATTTGCTTTCACTCTTTGTGCTTCAATGGAGGAGCAAAAGGTACAGAAAGGCGTGGCCGCCGAGAAGGTCGCACCCGTGTCCCCCATCTCTGTCACGGAGTGCTACCCTCGTCTCTCGATCAAGGCACCCAAGGGCGAAGACGCCATCAAGTTCTACGAGACCGTCTTCGGCGCCGTGGAGCTTGAGCGTGAGAGTGATCTCAAGCGCAAGGCTGACCAGGAGCGTCCCTTCATCTACAATGCTAAGCTCAAGCTTGGGTCCTTCACCTTCCTTGTGACTGAGTCTGACTCGATTGTTGACTCCGGTGACGCCGCGTACGTATCGTTCTCTCTCGCTCTGCTTTTTTTTCCTCCTTTACTTTAAAGTAATTGTTATTACTGTTAGATCTGGAATCCACTGTTTGCTTTGTTGTGTGTGTAGTTTTCGATTTACTACAATATTTTTTTTCTATTTTTAGTTGAATTTTTAATCATATTCTTTACTGTTTACTCTTCATTTTTAGCTATTTATATAAAATTCTTTTACATTTCTATGAAGATGTGGTCTATATGCGTGGATCTATTTCTTGCACTTGATTTTTTTGTAGACGTGATAAATTTTCTTGGTTTACCAGAGCTCTGGCTGACGGTGGTTTTAAGCATCTGTTGCTTACTGTTGGGGACGTCGATGCGGCTGTGTCCAAGGCGGTCCAGGCGGGAGCTGCGGCGGTTGGGGAGATCAAAGCTGGTGGTGCTTTCTTTGGCGACGAGCAGCGTTGGGCTCAGATTAAGGATCCTTTCGGCATTAACTGGTTCTTCGTCACCCCCCTTGAGAAGAAGGCGTCTGTGGCCGAAGCCCCGGTTACCGTCTGATTCCATCTCGCCCCACCACCACATATCATGACGATGTTTTGGTTTAGATTTTAATCAAATATTTAGACCCTTTATGGACCGTCTGATTCGAAGACTTTAATTGGTTTAGGATTAGGCTAATCGTAGCTTTAGCCTTAATATTTTGATGAAGGAAATGTTTGACTTTATTTGACCGTTGTTATGTGGTTGGATTTTTAGTATTAAATGAGTTCATGGTTGTTCTATGATCCGTCGTTTTCTATTAATTTTTTATGTTCGTTGTTTTTCTTGTCTTTTTAGCTGTTTGCGTAGTTATTGCACGGTGAAAATTACCTTCTTAGACATTGTTACTTGAGGAGAGAGGTTGGCAATGGTGGGGTAGTATTGACATTCGAACAGTCTGGATAAGGATTGATCAAGGAGAGAGATTGTGTTGCATTCGGATAGGGGCCGGTACGGTTTCAGAGAAAGGAGTAGGTAGACTTTTAGGTTCTGTGTGGTCGAAAGGAAACAAACGTGGTGCTTGTCACGTGTCAATAATCTGGAAGTAGGCGTGTTTACTTTGAAAACGTGGTTAGGCTTCGGGAGGTGCATGTCAAGGGTGGTCTAGAATCCAATCGATGGTCGGATTCTTTCGTGAGTCGAGACTTGGTTTGCTTTATTTAGCTAAAAACTGCTTCATTTGAAACAATGTAAGCGTTTGATAAAAATAAAATATCTTACTTATTTTAAAAGAAATGAGTGGAAACCCTCCATATCAATCCATCTCTATAGGATACAGGATACTTTAATGAAAAGAGAAACCAAGTCTCTAAGTGATATTATTAATTTTATAATACCCTCATTAGTTTTAAAAATCAAAGTTGTTTAATCTTTCTATATTCATCTTTTCCCTTGGAGAACAAGGTGACACACACCACCTATTACTACAAAACACTAACCTTAAAGCACCACTACCATTACCACTACCACTACTATAACCACCACCACAGCCATCACCACCATAACTTCCTACCACCATTGTTAACCCTACAAGCTAACCACCGCACCCCGCATTGTCACCACCACCATACCCCGACCCTTGTCAATGCCATCACCAGTGCTACCATCGTCACCACCACCACTATTGCCCTTGTCACCACACCTACTATCATCTCCATATTTATCATTATATACACTGCAATCTGAAACTGGCATTCAAAGAGTTTGTGAAAATTAAATTTAGCAGTTAAATACTCAAAACATAGAAGTTATACCTCTTTCCTTGGGGTTTGTTCTTTCTTTTTATTTTTAAGGTATGCATCATTACTTGTTGGGATTTTTTTTATTTTTTATTTTATTTTGAATACAACGATATATTTTACACTAAGGAGAATGGGAGTTCACTATCTACGAGATTCGAACCTATGACCTCTCACTTAAATATGAAAAGAAATATCATCATATCATAGTACTGAGTGACTGAGACTATTTATTTTTCAGTCTCTCTTTAAAGATTATCTAATATAAGCTACATCGTTAGTCAATTTATTCATCTAACTTGGTCTACAAAATACTTAATAAATAACAAATAATCCGATGACCAAAAATACACCAATTGGGCCTAAAACAATCAAATATTATTTGTCAAATGACCCAAAGAAAATGAACCGACGACGACATTGCTAAAAAAGCCTGCCATAACAAAGAAGAGGTCCTTCGAATAGGAATATGGGAACGGAACGATGGGTAGCAGATGAATAAATGAGCATGGATCCAATTTTACATTAGCATCCCCCAAACGAATGTTTTTTTTTTTTTTTAGTACATTGAATATATTTTTACACTAAATAAAGGGAGAGTTCGGCTAAGCTACAATGAGCAACCTAATTTGGTATCAAATTCACCATCTACAAAACCTAAGACCCTTACTTTCAAGTGAAGAGAAATATCACCAGATTATAGTACTGAATGACACATATTTTTGAACCTTGTAATTGTCACAATTCCTTCATATACTTACAATTGCATTTCTACTTCCTTGATCACTCTTAAATCATCTTGTATTTCTTCCACCCTCCTTTCTTTTCTAATCTCTCTCTCCACACACACACACATACACACACACCCACACTTACTATGTGAGCTCCAAAGAGCATGCTCGCTCATGTTCGAATACTAAAAGGAGCTTAGCTCCTATTTATAGGAGTATGAGGCGGCTACCCAAACGTAGTGGCCAAGAAAACTTACCCAAGAAGTAAACTATATTAATAGAATATGTCTATACCATATTTAGGGCCTCATATTTAGATCTCGTACAAATACTTAAGGGACTTAAATGTAATTATGTGATAAAGAAATGGACAAATATGTAATAAGTGAGGAGTTCTTATTCTATAAAAGGACCCCTCACCCTCACAATTAGGGAAGGCCTCACTCTCACTCTCGGAGGCCATTTCTGGAGCCTTCTCACCCCTCTCAACGCTCTCACTCCTAGAGCTCTCTCTCCCCCTCACTTCTCAGAGAAATATAATACAATCCGTGTGAACGTAGCCCAAACTTTAGGGTGAACCACGATACATCTTGTGTTATTTACATTACTTGCAGATTCAAGGTCGGATTTACGTTGTTCCAAGACCTTCGGTTTTGTGCATCAACAGAATACATATATATAGATAGACATAGAGGATGGCTCTTAGCTTGGTTATCGAAACAAAGGAGGAGGTGTAAATAAGTGATGGAGGTGGCAGCTGGGAAGGGTGCTTCCAAGCACCTCAAAATGCAATCCTAAAATTACTATAGATTACTATGAACATGATCATGCCACGTTAGAAGCAATAACTTCACAAGTGTAACCTATGAGATGGAAATATGAGATAAGATAAAGGAAGTGAAGATAGCGGAGAAAATGTTGTAGGTTCAAATAAATAAATAACTATAGATATTACTTGCTCAAATAATAAAACTGTAATTATATATAAATAATACATTAAAAAAAAAATAGGCAAAGGTTTTGAAAATACGGGTCATCACAAATACATCTCTGCAGTGCTACTTCGAGTTGTCATAATTTAGTTGTCCATTTTGAACCTATATTTTGTGATCTCCAGTCAACTAGGTTAGGTTTCTACTATGATTTATGTTGATGCACAAAATCAGTGAGGACTTTGGTACAACAGAAAGTGTTAAGTTTGTGACCTTCGCTAGATTGCTCCGGTCACTAGTGTGGATAAGTATGTAAATGAATAGGGATAGAGAAGCAAACACAAGATGTACGTGGTTCACCCAGATTGGCTACATCCACGGAGTAGAGGAGTTCTCATTATTTGTGAAGGGTTTACACAAGTACATAGGTTCAAGCTCTCATTTTGTGAGTACTAGTGAATGATATAATACATCTGACATTAGAAAATATTGTGAGAGAATGATCTCTATTTATAGAAGAGAGTTTCTAGTTTCATTCTGATATTAACACGTGTCGTGTTGTGATTGGCTTATGATGTTGACACGTGTCGTGCTATGATTGGCTTATGATGTCGACACGTGTCGCACTGTGATTGGCCTCCTAGTTGGAGGGAAACTCTTCTGAGTCCTTGACGGTATAAGGTTGATCGGTGCTCAGTAATTTCGGGATTGGTCAAGTATGGTACAAACAACTTCAATAATTACGGGCTTTAAACTCATTGCCCTTGATGATACAACTTATTTTCTAGTCAAACCTTTAAAAATTGGTACCACTAGGTTGACTACTCATGCTATATGCCCATCACAAAACTCGTTCATGCATGGAAATAAATTTCGTTTGAGAGTAGTTGTTTTCCGGCGTTAAGTCCTTCAAATATATGTTCGGATTTACTAAGTAATTTGCCTATGCTTGGGTAAATTCCTCCACATTTAAAGTATTTGTCAGAAGATCTTCAATACCTTAAAAATTCCATTGTAAAAGATAATCTTTGTCTCTTTCTACAAGCACATTACTTTTTCTTTCTTCTTAATCATAGATCATTTCTCAAAGATAGCTAAGCCACCCCCACAATTTCCTCCATTGTGGTTGCTTTGAAGCCTAATAACTAATCCTTCCTGCAAGCAGCACTTTTGGCAATCGTTGCCTTTGGCCTCTAGACTAACCGAGATTTAATAGTTTGGACTTCACTCTTTTGACTAAAGACAACCCCAACTTTCTTTGCAACATATGTGCACTATTAATATGATTATTTTGTAGTGCAATAACAATACAACACGGTATAATAAGAATGTCTCATCACAAATATATTCACATTATGCATTATATGTGTTCAGTAGGACGCCATGTTTGAGATTCACAAGTCGTGTAATATTCATATATACCATATACACGATATCTCAAACCTTCGAAAGAGGATCTTTGCCGGATCCTTTTTGTGAGGATTCCGGAAATCCTTCAATCACATCCGTTCATTGTACATCATGCGACCAGTTTTCGTCAGGTAATTTTATATTCAATTTTAAATAAAAAAAAATTACAATGATTTTTTATCGCACGATGTACAATGAATAAATGTGATTTGAGGATTCCCGTGATCCTCGCTGGATCCTCACTCCAAACCTTCACTCCTTCTGTATCAACGCACACCATGCGTAAACTTTCTAGGTGAAAAGAAACATCCTTTCATGAAAAGATATTTCACATTTTCTCAGATTTTCTTATCACCTCTATAATGCCAAGAGGCAAGAGATATCCATTTAATATATCAAATACAACCAACTCATGTTCCTTCATAATACCTCGCTTACATATCCATCACGGCTGCATTCAAATAATCCACTAATATTTCTTTAGGAAATATCGAGCACAACCAAACATCCTGCATTTCTCCATGAATACATATGGGATAAATCGTCGTTCGGACTATCGTCAGTCTCAATCAATTGGTTGGAACAGAAATCATGTAATAGATTTCCTTTCCAACGCTTAGCAAAGAGGGCGGCCTTTTCCCTTCATTCATTTGTGCCACTTCAAGAGACACGGTAGACGTAAAAACACACCAAACATATAAGACTCATGCATGTGTATATGCAGTAAATAAATTATCTCATGCTCAGGTCTTTCATGTACCAGTTCCGTACAATATCCAAGACTCCAATTGTGTCATTTGGTCAAACGATGTAACCCTTACTAGGGTTGCATTAGTTTCAAAAAACACTTTCAGACTTCAGTTGGTCAACCGTAACCAACCAATCTAATTCTCCATACTTCTAAAGGAAATTAAAGAAAACTGCAAACTCATAATT